CAGTGAGTTTCTTCAACCTACTTTCCTTGAAGTTTTCATCAGATTTCTCATAAATTATCAATTGTTACAGTGGGATCCGCCAGACCTCAACCTCCCCCATCACCGGCTCAGCCGCTGCTGAAAGCTCCAGCTCAGGGAGGAGTCGCTGGTCTGCTGCTGCACCAGTTCGCTATTTTTAAAAACCAGAATCAAACAAAAAGATTCAGGTACATACGATCCAAACTATCAGACGCTGGCAGGCGTGCAAGGCGACGTTTTTGGCGCGGATAAGAAGAAACCTGCTCCAAACGCTGCTGCTCCTGCTGCTGCTGGACCTCAGAAGCCAGCCGTTGGAAACATTATGGCAGGTAGGAGTCTCGCGATTGCGTTGACTTCCTTTCTTCGCCTTTCTCCGGCGGTGCGCATCACTCAACTCCTATTGTAACGCTAATAAAAAAATGACAGGATAGAGAGGGATCCAGCAGGCAACGATGTCATTGACCAGCAACCATTTCGGTAGTGGAGCATAAGTGAGCGGCCATCGCTCAAAATCATTCTTCCTTCCTGCTGGCCAGGACTGGTCATACACAGACTTCGACTTAACCAAAAAAGCTCTTAAAGTATTACATACCAACTCGCATTCTTACCGATCTCAGCGCCCGATTGAGGTCAGAGGGAAAGGCTCGTCACTAGTTACGATTAGAGGAAATGACTCAAGCAAGAGTGGATCTTAGTGTCTAAAGTGAGTATTAAAAGTCTAATAAAACGAATTGGTACCGGTGTGATTTGTTCATCTTGACACCTAATTTACGCAGCAGCCATATCCGTCGTGATTTGCACAAGCTCAAAGATTGCTTCCCTAGGCCTATTTCATCAAGGCAGAGTAAGGAAAGAATCTCTTGGTTCAGCTCAGAAAAAGCAAAGGAAAGGAAAGCGGACAAGGAGCGCTAGCGAGGAAGAGAGCAAAGACACCATAGAAAACACTAGAATTTCTCTGGTGAAGTCGACCGTGGTGAGACGGGAGACAAAGCGCGGGAAGGGAAATCACAAGAGATTTTTCACGCGAGAGGGCATGGACGCTTCTATTTACAAGCGTGCCGCCAGTCGCAACGGTAAAAAAGGCATAGGCTCTCTTATTGTGCACTTTCATGTCGCGGATATACTATTACCATCCCGTGAACCGCACCCTTAGTGCTGCAAGTAACAAGTTGACAGAGTCCTCAGTGCATCAATTTTGAGCGAATACATTTCGATTGAGCACCTCGAAATGAGCATATGCTGGCTCATCGGTCTATTTCAGTCACTGAAGAAATGGTTCCTTACTGCTTATCGTGGAATCGGCCTTTACTCCTTCGAAAACTACTTACAGTGTCTGTAACCAGTAGGCTAAGATGGTAGCAATCAATCTCAGGCAAAAAGGGTGAGAGGAATGGCGAGGGAGCGGTCAGCCCGACGACCGGACAATTTTCCTCCCACAATTTTGTCCGGTTGTCGGGCCCCGCGTGCGACCACTTGCGTGGCGTCGCAACGCAGCAGTCTCTCAACGAACGCGGGGCTTTGATTTTGACAGCAGTCCATTGGAGTTGAATTTCAAAGAGACAAATCTGCTCGACTTCCTGTAACACTGAAATTCAAATGACGCTAAAAGAAAAGCGTCCACTGCAGGTTGCGACGAGGCGTGGCCACGACCAGCGCGCGCGGTGGTCCGAACTATTTTGTTGACGTATATTCAGAAGGGTAATTAAAAGCTTGTTTGGACTCTATTCACCTAAAAAAAACATAAAGCATTTTGGTAGATCATTTGATGAATCATTTGGTTTGGTTTGAGTGCACCACGCATGCTACTTCTATTGAGAATCATAGTGGTATTTTGAATTTGTTTGGCCGACACAAAGAGCAGGGTCAGCTAATGTACAACTCAGTGTGTTTTAACCCCATCCCACCCCACGAGAAAAGTAGGGTACTCAGTTAAAGGCACAACCCAGGCAGAGGTTTTTTATAACTCTTCTCTTCGGTCAGAAGTATAGAACCCTAGGGGACAATCACAAATGTGGCGTTCACGTGCACGGAATTCGACCGACAAGAACGCTTTGGGCTTGCAAAGTAAGCTGCTCGAGCTGCAGCGAACGAGCTCTCTTATCAGGCCGTTGTCTGGTGCTCTCTCATCTGATGCGCTCTCTCGCCCCATACTCTCCTCTTCGCGCTTAGTCTCTCGTTCCTTTAGCACAGCCAATTAGGAAGGTGAGTGAGCCCTCAACCTGAGCGTTTTCGACGGATTCTTTTCCTTTTTTCTTCACTGCCGGCCCACTTGGCACCGATACATTCACATTCGTGTGCAAGAGCCACACCAGTGCGATCCTGGGGCATGCCTTTAATGACAACCAGGATGAGTTCAGGTGTGTGAATCCTTCTACAGGGTAGGATAGCAGTGTCCACGAAGGTCGCAGATTTTCCCTTCTCTTGTCTCTTAAAGGCGGAGTTTAATAAGAAGTGACAGCCTACCAGAATCTACCAAGCACAGCTACGAAAGATAAATTAAGGCATTTTGATGCGGATGAAAAGAAACCAAGGAAAAACGACCTAGAGCCCGAGCAATAGGACCCCTTTTGCCCCTGATTTGCGCGTTAGGCGTGTTTCAGCGGTGCTGACTTAACAACTCTATCGCTCTCCCTGCTAGGCGGTTGGAGTCAGACGGCGTGGAGGTGGGCAGGCAGCGGCGATGGCGGAGCGGAGACGGCCATGCTAGATCGCCGGGCAGCATATCCCTGGCTGTGCATTGCGCGTCGATCTGCACCCTTAGGAGCACTAGGTGGGTTTCCCACTCTTTGACCTACCTCTGTGAACCTCCTTGAAAAAGAATGCTTCCGGAAACCAATTCAACAGATTCGATCTTTTCTCATCCACAGCGTGCTGCTGTCGCTCTCATTAGTTGTGCTCTCTTCCCCCATCTCCTTGTGCTCAATCTTTTACTGTCTAAGGACAGCTCAGACTGGATAATTGCCTAACCGTCAACTTCACCACATCAGATAAATTCTTTTCCTTGCGAATCCACCTAACACCAATATTTGGTGTGCAAGAACCACACCGGCATCCTTTGGGTGTGCCTATAATCGACTCCAGTGGAATGGAGAATTCGGTTGACGTGACTGCATGCGGCCCTGAATTTGGTCGGTGATTATGCGTGTGACTTGCCACCTCTACAACGCTTCAGCATAGAAAAGACTAGTAAAACGTTTTAGGCCTATCAGCATTTCTTGTACTCGGCTGCAACCGCAAGTGCACTTGGGGCCGTATGCAACAAGCCCCGAAGATCTTCGGGGATATATCCCCGAAGACCCTCGGGGCCTTTTGCATACGAGCTTCAGGATTATGTCCCCGACGACCTGATGCAACAAGCCCCGAAGGTCGTCGGGATATATCACCGAAGACTTCGGGCTTGTTGCGTTTAGCCCCTGATTGGTTAGCAGTTGGGTCGATTGAGATCAGAAATTCTTGTGTTGATCTGTGACTTTCATCTGTTTAACTAGAGGCTGCCCTAGAATTGCTCACATGGCCAGGAGCAGTCACATACGAACTCTTATCTCTTCCAGGAACATACGATCCAAACTATCAGACCCTTGCTGGAGTTCAAGGTGATGTATTTGGACCAGATAAGAAGAAAGCCGCTCCTCCAGCTGCTCCAACACCTCAGAAGCCAGCCGTTGGAGGCATGGCAGGTAGGAGTTAGGCAATCATATTGATCACCAGAATGTTACGTTTCATTCTTATCGATGCTCACTCAGGAACGTACGATCCCAATTATCAGACTCTTGCTGGAATGAATGCAGACGTATTCGGTGCAGACAAGAAAAAATGAGAAATGAACTCAAATTGTAATATTTGCAAATTCAGTGAAGAAATTCGCTAGTGCACTGCGTCCACCTTAAAAAGCTCTGTGGTTTTAATCGCATCATTTATGAAGTTACAGGCAATATTTTGAAATGTGTACAGAAACCAATATTTCTTTGCATACTGTGTACAGAAATGTCACAAATTCTGGAAACCAGCAGAGCTTTCACAACAGAAGTCGTTCCATTGGAAACCTGCCATTTTCATCAATTGGCTCAAAGCCGAAGCTTTCGATGAAAGAATGGTCAGTGCTGCAAGGATAAAGAAGAACCTTGAGAAACAGCTCAAAACCCGAGAAATGAGAAGCCACCTTGTCAGTTGATTTGCGCATTGATGTGGCGCAGTGGTGCTTTATTTCAACGCTAACGCTCTTTCTGCTGGAGTAACGTGGCAAAGTGCTACCCATTGGTGGGCGTGGAGATCATGTTTACGGAAGATGTGATTGTTGATCCACTGTGTCCACCTAAGAGGCTTTCAAAAAAGAAATAAACCGAACACTACAGGGTGTCCTATAAATATTGCGCCGCTCTATTGTAACATCTCTCAAAAGAATGTATTTTCAAGAGATTATACAAAAATTTTAGCAATACATTTACATATTGAAAGGAATGACATTCATTGGATATGCTCCCCTGTTGTTGTGAGTATGGCTCCCAATTGCTTCGAACGCAACTCTACTGTGGCCCGCATGGCATCCTGGGTGTCTCTTCGAAGATATCAGAGAAAAGGCTCCGACTCATACAATACATGCGGTGCATTCATGTCGATAATTTCTGCCCCTAATGCAGCGCACATAGGATGTGGTCCAGAACGTATGGATCAAGGGATAGGAGAGCCTTCGGTTTGACGATGTGAAATCGGAAAGAATAGCTTAACAACACTCCTGTACAATTTTTGCCTCCTCGGCAGGCACTGGGTTTTATTGAAAGAACATCCCTCCAAAAAACCTGGCTACCTTGGTAACAGAAGATGCAGCGAAATGGTCACTGAGCAAGGTCCAGTATCGAGTTGTATTCTTTCTTGAACAGGCGCTGGCGGTAAGCAACCGGTAGTTGAGGCTCTGTCCACTCATGCAAGAAAAGCGCTCCGACCTCTAACAATTACATCCGGATGCAATTTAGTTTTAGAATCGCGCTTCCCTAATGCAGCCCACATAGGATGGTCCAGAACGTTGGAATCAAGGGATAGGAGAGCCTTCGGTTTGACGATGTGAAATCGGAAAGAATAGCTTAACAACACTCCTGTACAATTTTTGCCTCCTCGGCAGGCACTGGGTTTTATTGAAAAAGAACATCCCTCCCACAAAAAACCTAGCTACCTTGGTAACAGAAGATGCAGCGAAATGTCACTGAGCAAGGTCCAGTATCGAGTTGTATTCTTTCTTGAACAGGCGCTGCGGTAAACAAACGTACTGAGCTCGTCCTATGTATGAGGTTCGATACAAGCAAATCTCCTCCGTTTTCATTGCTTCTTCGAAACCGTATAGGCATCCCTTCGAAGTTTGGAGACTAACTTTCGCTCAACACTAGGGACTTCGCAAAGGAACGGTGCCCCCAATAGCCTTTTGGCCTCTGGCCAGCTCTTCGCCAGGTCTTTGTCTCCTCTGCGCTTCTCTGTTCCGATTGACAGCTGATTATCAATGTGCAGCTCACTGATTATTGTATGCAGTTTTATATATCCACTCTGCCGTATATTCTCAGTTCATAGCACATCAGCGTCTGGCACCGATTTCTCCAAGATCAACCATCGCGCAGTTAGCCAGTCGCTTAGTCACATGCACACTCGCGCCGTCATGAAAACTCCGAATCTCCCCAAGGTATGCATCTCCTCCTGAACGCGACCGAAAGTACACGCACAGTGTTGTCTACCCCGCATGCATGCCTACCCATTTATAGTCTTTTAACAATGCACAGTAGTGCCGCAAAGGTCGGGAAGATACAACAGAGAAGTGCGAATGTATTTAGCAAGAGATGGTCCGAACTGCTATTCGAGAAGAGATTTCTTGAAATTAAAAGATATCAAATCAACGAACAAACTATATTATTTCTGAGTGAGGTCCACAACCACTCATAGAAAGTCCAAACCGCTCGAGCAAGATTCAGGTGCGACGATAGGTTTTATCGAGATCTGGCTCCATACAAGAGGACCGGGAACAACCTCAGACTAATCTACAAAAGAATGCAAAATGACCAAGGAAAGCAGAACTAAATACGCACCTCGCTCCTCTTATCTGACTAGTTTTTCTTCCTCTGCCATCAGCTTGTTAACGTGCGAACTCTTATCTGCCGAAGTCGAAAAACTTCACTTCCGCAAATCATCTGCAGGAAGAGACCGAGGTACTAAACCACTCAGTTCGCAACAGAGATAAATCTATCTCTAAAAAATTTAGACTGCAATAATCATTCGCACTAGTACAGCCCCTTTAGTTACCTCTGCATGAGCAGAGAAATACACATTCCTCATGAGACAACGCGGATAGGACGTATAGGCTATGAAAACTCTTAAGTGATCGTGTAACAATTAACTCCCCACAAGACCAGACCACTCAGAAGATCCAATAAGCGGTACGCTTAAACCAGAGGTGCATCAGATAACGACTGACCGAGATAAAAAGTGAACTCATTCCACTCCCGTATACTATAACAATCTGTATGGAAGAAACAAACAAGATATTTCATCCTTCGCACCAGAGTATCCAAGCCAACGAACATCCCGACATATACCTGAAAACCCTCTCGAGCGAAATCTAGTTCGAAACATTATCGGAGCATCGGCTTCACAAAAGTGTCGACCACACACTGCTACATGTCCATTTCAGAGCAGAGATACCGGCATCTCCGGCTCTGCGCCGCTAGCCTCTCCACTCTAGCGATACACCCAGAGAGGCACAACTGCTTAAATAATCCTAGTGTTATTTCACTAAACCTTCCGTCAGAGATCGGTTAGAACCCCGGCTGAGGGTTGTTACAAGGAGCACTCATTAATTACTACTGTTGGCAAAATTCGTAGACCTGTTCCAGAGACATACCACCGCTCAATTCTCACGACTAGCGCCGATCATAGATCCGGTTCTGCGATACATTTAGCTGTAACTATTTTAACGTCCAAGAACGCATCGACACGCCCCACTAGAGTGCACTGAAGGAGTGGCTGCGCCTGTTATCAGAGGGCCGAGTCCCCAGACGAAGTGGTGCATGATCCAGCAATAGAACAGGACCAATTGGGGTCAATCCACCAACCAGTTTGAATCAAAAATGTTGTGGAAAATAGGTTCAGCGGTTTTGTAAGATTTATTGCGACTTAAACAACGTGAGTCATTATATGCCACATCCATATCATTCGGGAACGGGATTATTATGATACGAGGAAAATTTGAAAAATCTCTATTTATAAAGCGGCATACTTGGTGGTTGCATGTCTCTCCAACACAGTCTCAAAAGAACTGAGTGGAAAAGGGAAGCTATCGGAACTAAACAGGTGCTAGCAAATCTGGCGTAGCTCGCCAAGGACTGACTCTCCACCGTGTTCGCAAAGGCATGATTGTGATAACACCCAACGGCTATGTAAACACCTAATGAGCACACTTCCGGTCATTCCACATGATGCTGCAGTGGCAGCTGGAGCACAGTGGAGGGAGGGGAGGGGTGTTTGGGGAAGGGAAGCGGAAAACCAATCACCAACAGACCTAGGGTGAGGTTAGGTTTTGGTATGTCATTCTAAGTCGTAAAGGTTCCGGCCGTTGAATGGGGACCAAACTGGTAATGACAAGTAGTGCGTTCTAAAGGTTGATACCCTAATTCCTGGTAGGTAAGCCCGCGCCGACATCACGTAAAAACCCCTTCGTGCAGTGTAATTTGTACACCTTAGAAACTACCGTAAATTTGCCTATAGAGGTAATTCGATGCCCTGATTACGAAAATGACATTCATTTTATGGAGCGGCGCCAGATTGCGTCACCTTGTCACGACCCTTGTTTTCACCAAAATCGAGGTGAACTTCTGTATATCAACGTTGTTCAACGCACACTTTCCCGGTTGGAGAGCGCAGACGAGCAGAAAATAGGCGCAAATAGCGCCAGCGCCGAGAATGAATGTCATATTCGTAATCAGGACACCAAATAACCCCTACGGAAGTTTACACCAAATTTGGTGAAAACAGGTGTCGTGACAAGGTGACGCCAACTGGCGCGAGATGGCGCCACCGCTAAAAATGAATGTGGTGTCTCCAGTGGTGTGACTCCTGTCTTTCCGTGCTCGCCTGTCTGTGTGCCACGCGGGCTCTAAATTGGACGGTACCAGACAAAAGTACCACTAATATTTATTATATACAGATCTATAGTTGACACCAGAATCTTCCCACGTACTCGTCCTTTATTGCGGCGATACAAGAGGGACGAGTCCGATATTGCTGACAATCGCAAGTAGGGTCCAATGTTGTGACAAGGGACGACGACGAGTAAGGATCCTATATTGCAGAGAGAAGATGACGAAGATTCTTAGCTTGAGCGATCGGCGTGCCAGAGGAGGAAAAAACCCGATTCCCACTCAGTCGCGGTCCTTTTATACGGTAACGGACGTCGGCAGCGTAGGCTGGGAATGTAACCATATCCCTGCAAGCATTCAAGATCAGCCTTCAGATAAAGAAATGGAGAAAGTAATATTGATTAACTGTAAAAAAAATAGAAGCTAAATCAAATATTTAAACCTCTAACCATTTTAGTGGCGCTAGCTACACTCCCGGGCGCCCTGTGGTTGCTAGTGACGGGATAAGCGCTCGAGCTTCTCCAGATCAGCACGGAATTTTCGCATTGCCTCTAACACGTTCCTTGGAGTCAGGTATTGGGCAGATGTCACGATGGTGTCCTTTTTTGGAATAAGGAACTCCAGTATGGTGTGCTTCACTCGCAAGCAATACCACCCCTCCTTCTTGGCATCTGGGCACTTATTTCCCATTCCACACTTTCCCAAA